TTGAACTTGGTGGCAATCGCTTCAGAACCTTCAATTCCTATAGTGAATGTATCAATAACTTTTCCTCATATATAGCGGTTCATAAGATATTTCGTTCCAAACACAGGTACAAGAGATGCTTCGAGTAAAGAGTCTCGGCGGGCCATGCCCCGTACGGCGGATTGCCTGTACTGTACTGTACTGTACAAGAGACTCGGTCGAGTTTCGCGCCAAGTACAGGCAATCCGCCGTACGGGGCACGGCCCGCCGAGATTCTTTACTCGAAGCATCTCTTGTACCTGTGTTTCGATTCCAATATCTTATGAACGGCTGTATGTGAGAAAAATTTATTGATACATTCACTCTAGGAATCAAGGGTTCTGAATTGATTGCCACCAAATTCAATACGATTAGTGTATAGGATCAGGTCGTCGTCGTCGTCATCGTCTTCGCATGTCCATCGCATTTTTTACACGACAGATGGCGCTGACTGCTTTGCCTTCTTTACCTATTTGTACTCTGAATGGTATTAGTAATTTACGAATACACAACACAATCAAATACACTTTATACGTGAAGCTACCGATCATACCGAATTTCCAGTTAGTATAAGGGTGCTTTCAAAATAGTATATAATTATTCAGTTTTTAATAGTATTCATGTGGAGCGCGCGTACATGGGTGTATGTATATGTGTGCTTCGGCATAGTTCCTCTTATTTTAGGTGACAGTTTGTCCAGGTATTCCGCTTCGTAGTTTTCTGTATCTAAGTGTCGGATGTGGAAGTTCAGGGTGCTCAGGTGTACCGCTTCGTAGTTTCTTGTATCTAGGTGTCGGACGTAGAAGTCCAGAAAAGTGTGCAACAAGCTTTGGCGCTTCGCTCAAACTATAGTATCCTCTCTGATGTTCGCACGGCCTGAGGTACGTAAATAATTCAGCACACTCTCCTCTCTTACGTTTGCCACACGGCTTCAACAAGCTGGAAATGCACGGACCCGCCAAGTAGTACTCGATAAGGAATCAGCTGAAGTTTTGTTAATTATTAAATAACCAGTAAATCGTAATCAACTACGAGAAGCAGTAGTAATGTAAAAGAGTAGTTAAAACGTTATAGGAAATTTTGAAAATACAATTAAAATGATGGGCCAGTGCTAGATCATATAATAGGCAAACATGTAGTGACTTATGTAATTGACCTCAATAATCTGATATCAATACTTTTTATTAGAGGAATACACAGCACTCCTGTACTTGGCGTAGTTTTTTACACGTAAGTGTTTTTTGGGGGATATACCACTAGACTGCTAGCTCGCTTGCTGGATGTGAGGCAAAGTGGAGGGGAGACTGGACGCCATTTTTTGTATGGCATTCCGTATTCCAGGTGGGGAAAGTAAACCTAGGTGAAGTTAGCATTGTAACATTTACTTTTTGAACTTTTTTTGTTGTCAAATAATTGTTGGTTTTATGGTGGTTTTTGTTGGACCAGTTAAAAAATTTGGTTGTTGCCCATTTTTCTGGAAAATGGAAAATAAAATTTGGATTGTGAAGTTAGCCCTAAAAGTCTTATTTTTTATAACAAAAATTTGTTTGTATGGAATCGATGCCAAATTTTTTGGCGGTCACGAATTACCTAATTATAAATTTTGGTGGTAAGCGGTTTCGTTGAAAATAAAAAAAAAGCGTACGCGCACCTGTGGAATGTGAATTTAGCCCCAATTGCATCCTCGATATCTCAAGAAAGCCGCACGATTGGTTGAAAAGCCTTTTGTATATATGGAATGTATTAAAAATCATTCAGCTTCTTACAATTTCACGAAAAATGGAGAACGGGAACTCGGTTTACTAGTTCTTATTTATATTCTCACTACATCATCTTGGAGCATTACGATATTAATGCAAATTTTTCTGCCACAGTTGATTACTCGGATAATCAAGTACTTCTTACAATGCTGCAATTCATCGTTCTCGTATTGTGTCCGAGGGATGAACCAAGTGACTACGTTTTCAGTTAAATCAGTGGTTCCAGTTGCGGCCTATCTGAATTTCTTATTTTCTAGTAAAGGATTGTGATTTAGTAGCTTTAGTAGTTTCTGTAGCTTGAATATTGTGGTACCTCATTGGTTTTATTGTGCCACGTTTATAACATAGGTTGGAGCAATGCCATGTGCTCCATTTCAAGTGAATTCCTCATTTCGGAAAATAAGCTCCACGTCTGTTAGTTTTCAGTATACATTACAGATTTTATATGTAGTAAGTTATCAATGTCAGTGCTCCAGTTTGCCATATCGGTGCGTCACTTTATGCTAATGCAAATCTTTTCCTTAACCTCATTCTGATCATTATAAACTCAAAAAGTAAAAAGTGATCTTATTTCTTTGTATGCCTTTTTAAGGATTTTACATCCCTCTTTCGATTCTATTTTATAGAGACTAGAGTGTTAATATTTGCTGCACTATTCCTAATGCACTATTTACAGACAAGCACAGCGAAACTGCAGGAAACTTGGCAAGTTGGCTTCTGTCGCAAAAGTCATGGCCCTACTCTATTAAATTTTGAAACTATGAAGAATTTTATAGGATACCCCTTCTTTTTTTATTGGTTCAACGTAACTTAACTGTAGCGTTACATTGAGACTCGCCTCCATTCGAGTATACGAATAATAATGCATTTAGCAAACTTTGTAGAACAAATAACGACTATATTATAGATTTTTTTTTTAAATAAAGGACAATAATTTACAATAATGTTTAAAAATGCTTATTAGTATTCATTTCATAATGTTGTAAATATACTTTCAATGTGTTTCACCCATATAAATTTCACATCGTTGTAAAATGATGTGCTACTCCTCGGTTGGACAGATGATTTGTTTGTAATGCATTTCTCCTTCACAGGTTATCTTTCAGATAAAAGATAAAAACACTTGACTGCATCTCAGAATTTTGTAATCCACCGTTCTCGTCTTTTATCCGTACGATCAATCGTGGCGGAGAAACTTGATTTGGGAAAATTCAGCTATTAACTTCGAGTTTATAACAATCTGAGAGGGAGAGAGAAAGAGAACGAGAGAAACGACATGAAGAACATCATCTTAAGAGCATGTGAAATATCTAAGTCGGTAATCAAAATTGTAATAAACTTTGTTCACGGATTTAGCTTATGCGGCCAAAATAAAACTTCCATTCACTGCTGAGATGTTATCCGCTTTCGATGAAACTTTTTCTTCTATCATACACGCTAAAGTTCGTGAAAAAAGTTGATTACAGTTTTTATTATCCCTGTCTGCGCAAATCGGGTATTTTACATGGTCTTAATAAAATGCTAAACAGCTTACACACTAATCGGTAACAGAAACTATAATCCAATAATCTACTCAGAGACGATTGGCGGTTTATTTCGTCTATCTACTCTAGTGGAACCGAATTTCCTTTTTTACATACACGGGTCAAAAACCGCATTAACTATACCTCTGAACTAAATAGATAATTTAATTAATAATGAAAAGAAATCTATGAGCACCCCAGCACAGGTGCGCGTATAGTATTATTATTTTTTTTTAACAAAACCGGTTACCCATACACGGGTCAAAAACCGCATTAAGGGTATTTTACATGGTCTTAATAAAATGCTAAACAGCTTACACACTAATCGGTAACAGAAACTATAATCCAATAATCTACTCAGAGACGATTGGCGGTTTATTTCGTCTATCTACTCTAGTGGAACCGAATTTCCTTTTTTACATACACGGGTCAAAAACCGCATTAACTATACCTCTGAACTAAATAGATAATTTAATTAATAATGAAAAGAAATCTATGAGCACCCCAGCACAGGTGCGCGTATAGTATTATTATTTTTTTTTAACAAAACCGGTTACCACCAAATTCTATAATCTCGTAATCCTTGACCACCAAAAAACTTGGCATTGATTCCATACAAAAAAATTTTTTGTTATAAAAAATAAGACTTTTGGGGCTAATTTCACAATCTAAATTTTATTTTCCATTTTCCAAAAAAATGGGCAACAACCAAATTTTTTAATTACTCCACCAAAAACCACCATAAAACCAACAATTATTTGGCACCAGGAAAAGTTCAAAAAGTAAATGTTACAATGCTAACTTCACGTAGGTGGAAAGTAAATAGGAGACGCCGATCACTTATTCCGTGCCCCACTGAATAGTGTCGGGTGCACGGTCTTACATACAGGTCTTAAAACTCTGGTGGTGGCGGTGGATCACTTAACGATGCCATTCCGAATAGGTGCATAGATTCGCTGTGATCGGGTAATTGTATGGCCGAGGGTCGCGGGATGCCGGGAGGATCACTCCATCTCTGTCCTATTCGTGGTTTCCACGGTGGCATCGCTTGAATGTTGACCATAAGTAGCTACGCGAAACAGTTTATAATGTTTAGCAAAAAGCGTAAATGCCCATAGACTGACTCGATGTGATGAAATACATATACCTATAATCCCAATAAAATCCTAATTATTCTAAATCCAAACAAATGCGAAGACATGAATGATTTTGAAACTTTTATTTTCTCCGTTTCAATTTTTCTAAATTCTTATTATTTGTTTTTGTAGGTTTCCAGTTTTTGATGCATGTAAGTACGGATAGTCATCAACTATTGCTTTTTTCCAATTTTCACAGGTTTGTTTTTCGATCACTATAAAACGGAGATAAGTAAAATAAAAATCATTCTTTCAATTTTATCTATTTTATTCAAATTTTCGCAACATTGCAGTTATTCGAAACAGATAGTGACGCTTTGACATATTTACACTACTACTATAGTATATTTACACTACTTATTCGTTAGTTTTTGTTAAGTGTCTACACGATTGCAAGTTATGTTTATCTGCTGTACCCGATAACAGCGACGCTGTTTGAAACTAAATTCAACTGCAGTAAGCGAGCCCCCCACCACTGAAATTCGAAGAAGTTCCAAGCCTGTATGTAGACCGTGGTCGGGTATCACACCGATACACTAACACACTCACATATTTGCCCTACAAAAGATGGCGGCCAGCCCCCACCACTTTAAAAAAGTTGCCTCACTTCTCTCAATGGCAAGATACTGGAAGCTAACAACATGCTCTCAGCGCTCTCGGCTTATTTTCGAACACACCCACAGTGCTTCAGAGCACGTAAAAACGTTTGCATGAACGGACATAATAATTATACAATTGATCATTATTTTATGAAGTGTCCACGTGTGGTTCTACTTTGCATTATATCAGCCTTACCAGTATTTTCATAAAAAGCCTGAAATTTCAATTCATTGAAACAATGCTGCAGCTTTATCAATGTATGTTTCGTACTTTATCAAGAAAGTTCAAGGGCTCTACAAGAATTATAACTTGTTCATGCAATGGAATAATAAATTATCATACAGCGGGAATAATTGGTACACAATGTTATTCTTTATTTAAAAAACGAGATCTGGATCTTTAACAATAATAGTGTGATCATTGTTTTAGTCATTGGAGATGAAATATTAAAAGCACAAGTCAAGGATACTAATTCACACTATATGTGCAATTTATTATATCAGTGCGGGATCAAAGTAAACAAAGTAAGTTAAGAATTAGATATGTACTAAATATCAATATGTTATACCATGTGTTAATTAGTCTCTAAGATTTCAGTTATTAGTGACAATGTAGATGAAATAGCAAATGAAATCAGAACTTTCACAAATGAATACACATATGTAATTACTTCTGGCGGAATAGGACCAACTCATGATGATGTTACTTATGAAGGTAATTAGATTTGAAAATTATAATTATAATATTTATACTGTGAATAAGTATTAATTTAGAAAACATTACAGCTCTTGCAAAAGCTTTTAATGACTCTTTACATTATCATCCAATTTTGATGGATATTATTAAAAACCAATTTAAAATTCAAAATCCTTTATCTTCAGCATATAAACTGGCTTACGTAAGTTTTTATTGGGACATATTATTTTTAAGATCATTTAAAATATCATGTTTTTAGATTCCAAAAAAGGCCTTATTGAGATTTGGAGTTAATGAGCAAACGAAACAGAATTTAGCTTATCCTTGTATAATACTAAAAAATGTATATGTGTTCCCTGGTTCGCCAGAATACTTTGAAAGGTCATTTGGATCTTTATACAAGGTTAGCATTCACTACATTTATACATTTTTTTTTATTAATTTATGCAATTGTTTTAGGAATTATTTGCTTCTGACAAACATTTTTTCATCGAAGAAGTTTTCATAGATGCAAAAGAGGAATCATTTGCTGATGCACTGTCAATTGTTTCCAAAGAATTTCCATGTATGTCCTTCGGTTCTTATCCTCAGAGTGCTCACAGGTATCTTTTTGTGTTCATTATATGAGTTCAGTACATATTTTAAATATTAGTGAAAAAATACTTCTTGTTCTATAGCTATTACAAAGTACGTGTTACTATAGAAAGCGACAATTTGGATGACGTAAAGAAAGCCAAAGAAAGATTTTTCAATTTAATTCCACAAAACATTTTAGTGAATTATGACCAAACACCTTAGGAGAAAGCTGTTTTGAAATATGAACATTTTATACAAAATTCTAAAGAGAGATTATTGTATGAAGATTCAATTAAAATATTACAGTAAGTTCAGCTCATTCATGCTATTGATGTTTTATTTGAAAATGGTATTAATTTTTATTTTAAAAAAAATATAGAGATATATATACGAATCCTACAAGTGTAGTAATAGGGTTTGATGGTAGTATAGAATCTACAGTACTGTTACATCATGCACATATAGTTATCAATAAACTATCAAGCAATAATGTAAATTTGAAAGCTGTTTATTTAAAACGTGAAAAATCATTTCTGGATGTAGAAAAATTCATCAAGCACACTGTGGAAAGGTAAAGGCATAAGAAGAATTTCAATATATCAGAATTTTCTGATGCACCATATTCAATGATATTCTCCTTATAGGTATAACATAAACATGTTCACATTGAAGGGAACACCACACAGATGCTTAAAGAACTAGTATTATTAAATCCCGAGCTGAAAATTTTATTGATCGGGACAAAGGAGGATAAACCAGAAAATGGAGTATTTCATGATCTAGCTCATAGAAAGTCATTTGAATCAGTTGAAATAAGGTATCCGTTACTAAAATGGACTTATAAAAATGTGTTGACATTTGCTAGATGTCTTTCTTTCTTGTATTGTTCACTCTACGATAAAGGGTAACTCGACCACTAAGGATAGAGGAAAAAGCCGTTGCGAAATAAAAAAATATGATTTCCTTATTTCTTCACAGATATACATGGATTCGCGATCGGGATAATACGAGACCAAATTCGAACTTGCTCTTCAATAAGGATTCTTTGTCCAATATTTACTATCCTGCATATACGTTACAAGATCTAAAACTTGAGAGAGCTGGCGGAATCTCTAAACGCATGCCTCTTACCGATTCTTAGTTATAAAGTTATCTTAAATTATTTATTCATATAAAAATAGTTAGAAAGTACCTATGACCGCACACATCCGTTGAGACGTTTCGCGATTTTAGAGGATTGAGAATCACGAGACTTTTTTAAAGGGTTTGTGCACTGGACGGGCGTCTTGATAGGAAACAATACTTGGTTTTTAAAATTAAATAATCTTACTATATAGTCTTATAATTTACATGCTAGAAAGTCACTTAATTGCTACTTCATTCTCACACACACACACTTACAATTGGTGTACAGTTATATTATTGTATCGCAGGCGATAAAAAGTGTGTTTGTTTACCTTTTCACTATACTAGCTTCTAAGACCGGAAAATAGATAGCCGGGGCTATAATACAGCAGACTGCACAACACACAAGTACATAAGTCACTACATGCTTGCCTATTATATGATCTAGCACTGGCCCATCATTTTAGTTGTATTTTCAAAATTTCCTATAACGTTTTCACTACTCTTTTACATTACTACTGCTTCCCGTAGTTGATTATGATTTAATGGTTATTTAATAATCAATAAAACTTCAGCAGATTCCTTATCAAGTACTACTTGGCGGGTCCATGCCAGGAATTCCAAAGTACTTACTTTGAACGTACTAATAGTATCCTAAAATTATATGTTTGTTATTAAGTTTTTACCGTGATTATTTTTAACGAGTTATTGTTAATAAGCTCTATATAGAAAGATGACATTGGTTTTCAGTTTGATGGCTGGCATAATGAACGCAAATTTATATCAAGAAATGCACGGACCGGCCAAGTAGTACTCTATAAGGAATCTGCTAAAGTTTTATTAATTATTGAATTACCATTAAATCATAATAAACTACGGGAAGCAGTAGTAACGTAAAAGAATAGTGAAAACGTTATAGGAAATTTTGAAAAAACAACTAAAATGACGGGCCAGTGTTAGATCATATAATAGGCAAACATGTAGTGACTTATGTACTTGGCCTCAATAATATGATTTTAATACTTTTTTTTAGAGGAATACACAACTCCCCTGTACTTGGCGTAGTTTTTTACACGTAAGTGTATTTTGGGGGATATCACAAGTTTTTGTTGCTCAACGGGACATAGAAGCTCTAAGCACTGAAATCTATATTATCACAGATATAAAATCAAAATGCATTATGATGTTGCTAATCAGAAAAATATATTGCGTTGTCGAAAATGTTTAATGGCATATAAATTTAGTTTGTAAGTCCCTTTTTCTAGAAATGTATAAAGACATATACAAATTTTTAAAGAAAATGTAATCTTCAATGCATATAAGCGTCGTTAATGGTGTCCAGCTTGTTGAAGCCGTGTGGTAAACGTAAGAGAGGAGAGTGTGCTGGATTATTTACGTACCTCAGGCAGTGCGAACATCACAGAGGATACTATAGTTTGAGCAAAGCGCCAAAGCGGCGCTCGTTACACACTTTTCTGGACTTCTACGTCCGACACCTAGATACAAGAAACTACGGAGCGGAAAACCTGAACACCCTGAACTTCCACATCCGACACCTACATACAGAAAACTACGAAGCGGCATACCTGGACACACTGAACTTCTACGCCCGATACCAAGATACATGAAACTACGGAGCCGCACACCTGGATACCCTGGACTTCCACATCCAATACATAGATACAAGAAACTACGGAGCGGAACACCTGAACACCCTGAACTTCCACGTCTGATACCTGGATGCAGGAAACTACGGAGCGGAACACCTGAACACCCTGAACTTCCACGTCTGATACCTGGATGCAGGAAACTACGGAGCGGAACACCTGAACACCCTGAACTTCCACGTCTGATACCTGGATGCAGGAAACTACGGAGCGGAACACCTGAACACCCTGAACTTCCACGTCTGATACCTGGATGCAGGAAACTACGGAGCGGAACACCTGAACACCCTGAACTTCCACGTCTGATACCTGGATGCAGGAAACTACGGAGCGGAACACCTGAACACCCTGAACTTCCACGTCTGATACCTGGATGCAGGAAACTACGGAGCGGAACACCTGAACACCCTGAACTTCCACGTCTGATACCTGGATGCAGGAAACTACGGAGCGGAACACCTGAACACCCTGAACTTCCACGTCTGATACCTGGATGCAGGAAACTACGGAGCGGAACACCTGAACACCCTGAACTTCCACGTCTGATACCTGGATGCAGGAAACTACGGAGCGGAACACCTGAACACCCTGAACTTCCACGTCTGACACCTAGACACAGGAAACTACGGAGCAGAATACCTGGACACCCTGGACGTCCACATCCAGTACGTAGATACAAGAAACTGCGGAGCGGAACACCTGAACACCCTGAACTTCCACGTCTGACACCTAGACACAGGAAACTACGGAGCAGAATACCTGGACACCCTGGACGTCCACATCCAGTACGTAGATACAAGAAACTGCGGAGCGGAACACCTGAACACCCTGAACTTCCACGTCTGACACCTAGATGCAGGACACTACGAAGCGGAATACGTGGACATCCTGGACGTCCATATCCAGTACCTAGATACAAGAAACCCTGAACTTCCACGTTTGACACCTAGATGCAGGACACTACGAAGCGGAATACCAGGACATCCTGGACGTCCATATCCAGTACCTAGATACAAGAAACCCTGAACTTCCACGTCTGATACCTAGATGCAGTAAACTACGAAGCGGAATACCTGGACACCCTGGACTTCCACATCCAGCACCTAGATACAAGAAACTACGGAGCGGAACACCTGAACACCCTGAACTTCCACATCTGACACCTAGACACAGGAAACTACGGAGCGGAATACCTGGACATCCTGGACGTTCACATGCAATACCTAGATACAAGTAACCCTGAATTTCCACGTCTGACACCTAGATGCAGGAAACTACGCAGCGGAATAACTGGACACCCTGGACTACCCAATCCAATACCTAGATACAAGAAACTACGGAGCGGAACACCTGAACACGCTGAACTTCCACGTCTGACACCTAGATCAGAGAGATTTCCACGCCCGGCATCTAGATACAGAAAAGTACGAAGCAGAACACCTGGACACCCTAGACTTCCACATCCGACACTTAGACAGAGCAAACTACGGAGCGGAACACCTAGACACCCTGGACTTCCACATCTGACACCTAGATACACGAAACTACGGAGCGGAACACCTGGACACCCTGGACTTTCACATCTAACACCTGGACACAGGAAACTACGGAGCGGAATACCTGGACACCCTGCATTTCCACGCCCTGCACCTAGATACAGTAAAGGATGGAGCGGAACACCTGGACATCTTATATCTCTAAAAGCTATTATCTAAGATACGAGAAACTATATCAAAGCACACACGTACACCCATGACGCGCGCTCCACATGAATCCTATTCTAAAAAAGTCATGTTACATTTTATCGAATTGCGATATTAGAATTGTTGTCGCATTATTCGGTTCGTGATTGGCTGTCGGTGTCGTCGGTCGATGAGTGTCACACCATCGGCGCTTCGTGTCCAAGTTCACGGCATGTATGTACCAGAGATGAGTAGGGAGATTGCCAATGAGCCTGTTTTTGGTGAAGGCAATTTTTCTCTGGTTTCGGCGCGCCACCTTAGCGGAGGGCCCTCGAAGCAGTTCCACGTTTTTGATTGGTCGTGTATATATAGTAATACTACGCGTGATAATCTGGAGCTGTGTTTTGGCGCGTCGACGCGCTACCTGAACGAGACTCGAACTAGTTCCACGTTTTTGATTGGTCGAATAAATTCGTCTGTTCCTCGAGATTCACGATTTTAAACCGGGTGAACACTCAAATTGCGAGACTTGTATCCACCTTTTTTTTTACACCACGTTTTTGATTGGTCGAATGAATTCGTATGTTCCTCGAGATCCACGATTTTAAACCGGGTGAACACTCAAATAGGGAGACTTGTATCCAACTTTTTTTTTACAGGATATTACATAAACCGTAGTAATAAGGTAGTCAATACTCTTAATAATCATATGAAGCTCTGCAAATAATAGAGTAAGCAAATAAAACTTAAAAAAAACTCTCGAACGTGGGTAACTACACAAATATAAGTTTGCTAAATAATATACCACAATGACTCGATGGCACACGTGCTGGCTGCTGAGTTAACGTCCGAGAGTCTCGGGTTCGAAACTGACACGTCTTACCTCTCTTTTCTTTTAATTATCAACTATGCTTATTGGTTTACCTAATTAACTGAAGTTTCATGAAATACATGATAATATTAATCTACAAA